TAGGGGTATTTGTAGATGAAAAACTTTCATGGAAAAAACAGATTATGTGTGTACAAATCATGAAGTCACTTGGTATCATTAGAAAAGTTTGTTCATTGGTAAATCAATCCTGTCTTTTAACTATTTATTACAGTCTATATCCTTATATTTCTTACTGTAACATAGTTTGGGCCCGTAATTATCCTTCTTCTCTTCAAAAAATCGTTTTGATCCAAAAAAAAGTTTGTTAGATTGGCAACAGCATCTAATCGGTGTGAACCATCAGCTCCTCTGTTCAAGCAATTACATATTTTGTCTATTTCTAGCATAAACATCTATCAAACATGTATCTTTATGTACAAATATATAGTTCAAAATCATAGCCTCCCAAAAGTGTTTAATAACTATTTTTTAATTAACTCTGATGTCCATTCATATCCAACTCGACAAGCAAAGAATGTTCATCTTCCCTATTTTCATACAACTCTTGGTCAATTCTCCTTAAAATATAGAGGACCGTCACTTTGGAATACTATCCCCAGTTATATTAAAACTAGTTTATTTTTGTCAGTATTTAATTCAAGTATGAAAAAAACATTTGTGTGACTGTTAAAATTTCTGTATGTGTGTTGCTTTTAATTGTCTGTTGTTGTTGTTGTTGTTGTGATGATTGTTGTTATTTATTACAATAGTTTGGTGTACATGAATTGAAAAATCAAAAGGAGAGGCGTTATTATACACCCTTGGGTGTTTCTTGCCTCTCCTGCACAATCCATATGTATTGTTTTTTTTTATATATATCTGTCTGTTTTATCTTGTGCTAAATAAATAAAAAACAAAAACAAAAAAAAAACTACATGTCAAGTAACTCTCATTAGAGTAGTAGTAGACTATCTGCTTAATATATTGTGATGCTCCTCCAACAGACAATCTACTGACTATAAGTAACTATAAAACTACATGTCAACTTATTCCCTAACCCTACCAGTCTATTAATACTCTACTAACACTCTAGTGAGAGTTAGCAGACATGTAGGTGCAACGTTACTTATAGTCAACAGAATGTGTTAAAGTAAAGGGACCATCCAAATGAAGTGAAACCCTTTGGTCAATTATCACAAACAAGCATTACTGTTCTGGTCACTTTTGTAGACACAATGTTTTATATGAACAATGGTATATAATTCATAATAAGAAGTCATTGTACATGGAGAATTGGGTTCGGCACAACATTTTGATTGTTCACCTGCTTATTGACAAGACTAGGCAATTTTACACGTAACCAAATTGTATTTCAAAATATGGTTTATTAAAGGAGCAATGTGTGATTTTTAGCGACATCTAGTGGTTCGGTTGCGAGTTTGCACTAAGGGCTCAGCCCACTGCTCACCCCTCCCTTTCGAAGAAGCTACGGTTACTAAAACGGGACAAACATCTCGTCGGCAGAGACAGCAGAGAATAGCCAGAGTAAGTCAAGAGTGTGTAACATTGTCACTGTTTCTGTACAACAGTCCATTATAAACCACATCATGAATACTGTTTATAAAGCCATAGTCAGGTGAGGATCAAGGGTTTTAATATATAATTTAATAAAATAATAGTAATCAGCTGATTGTCTCACAAACGTAACTAGCAGCACATTTCTCCCCACATACTGTAGCAAACCCATAATACAGCGAGGGAGCAGCTATATATTTTTTCTAACAGGGTAGTAATAGTTTAGCTGGCTAATATGAGCTGTTACTGTGGCTGAGCTGGGACGCGTCCGCATGAGTCCAAAGGTCGGAAGTGCGCGCGCTGTTACAATCATGTCATCTCCGCATCCCATAGATACTATTTACTACACACAATAGGCTTTTTTCTCTGATTTTGAAAACTCTTCGCGATCGACTTTAGACTTTAGTAAAAGTCTCTATCGACGGGTTAGTGATTCCTGTAACGTACTGTTTTACGGTCAATGACATGAATACTAATCATCAGCTGTCTCACGAACGTAACAGCACATCTATCCCCAACATAACAAACCCATAACTAGGGATGGGTATCGTTAAGGTTTTATCGGTATTACTACTCTTACCGATACCGCTTATCGATCCGGTACTTTAACGGTATTCTTATCGGTTCTTTTTGGAGTTTTTTTTTTTTTTTTTTTTAAGAATTAAGAACATAATTAAACTTTATATTTTGAAATGTAAAATATAAAAAGCAAAACGAAGAAAAATATATTTTTGTTATGCAGCAATGTGCAGGCTTTTTTTGTTTATACAAAAGGACACATAAGAAAAAAAAACAAGTACAAACACAAGAATACAATTAATCAAAGGTACAAATTATATACAAAGTGCTTTAATTTCAGGAAGGTCTACTAACATATCTTGTCAGGTAATTGTTTCTGTCTGAAAAGAAACCTATTAATCAAATATAAAATAGCACTGTAGTTTATCATAGATAGAATAATGCTTATTAAATCTAAAGTTACTCATTCAAAGGCTGTGAGTGATTTTCTCTGCCTTTTGTTGTTTGATTTGCATTAATGGCTGAATCGTCAGCAGGTTTAGGCTATTAGACTGCTGCCCCTTTAAGACCGAGTGCAGATAATGGGGACTGATGCACCATCATTTTCTCCCTATTATTTACGTCCGTTTAAGACATAATTGTGTTTAAGTGAATAAACTGTGTTTAAGTGAATCTCAGAGCTGGTCATTTTGACATTTGTATACGTATATTTGATAGTTAAGGACGCACAAAGCCCAAGTATATAGGTTACTTTTCTTGTCTCGTTGCAGTCCGTTTCGGAGCGTGCACCGCCTTGTGAACAGCGTCTCTTGCGCAGGTTTTTGTGTTTTTAATAGCTATTTTCTTGATCTTGCAACAGTAGAAGACAGCACTTTGCAACAATCGCCGATCGTGCTGATTCTGACGGTTACGTTTGGGTTTTAGGAAGAACTGACAGCGCTCCGCAGTGCTGTGAAGTAAAGAAAGTTAAGCTGGACAGATCGTTTCGTTTTTTAACGGTTTTATCTCAAATATCTTCTTTTTATAATCTTTGGAAGCCGAAATACAAAATATATTAGAATAATACCCCAGATCTAAAGTGTAACCACGTTGGATGTTTAGTTCTGTCCTCATCGTCACTGTCACTCATTAAGCTGTCGTGTTGCGCGTGCTGTGGCTTTGCGTGAGAGATCGCTCTCTCTCTCTCTTCTGAACTGCGAAATGCAAATTGGCATCACAGACATATGGTTTAATTAAAATATAGTTTATATATAGAAATGGCTGGTGATATAAACATGTTCGAGATAACGTCTTTATGGGAATAATAAATAGTAGCCCAACTTGCGTGTATTTACTTAATTTCTCCAGTACCGACAGCAGAACCGGTAACGTCCGAGCTTATCGATACAGCGGTCTTTCAAAATTCTGTACCGGGGCCCGTTTAATACCGGGTTTCGGTACCCATCCCTACCCATAACACAGCGAGGGAGAACTAAGTTACATGAAACAATCCCAACTACATATTTTACACCACTCACAAGGGAAAAGTCACTACTCACGGAGTGTAAGGCTAGCTTCCAGCTTTCCGCTACTTCTCTTTCAAGGTAGTGATGAAACGCGTTCTGTAGCACTGTGTGTTCGCGTTCGGCTACGGTAGGAATATGACGTCACAACATGGCGACCTTCATAGAAGGGGATTCCCGCGGTTATGGAGCTATTAATGTCTCATTCTAAGGTAATAAAAACATTACGGTTAATTAAGTTCTTTATACACCACTGAAAACATAGTTATGGATGTCATATTGCATTTCTGTTATAGATACTCAACTTTGTTACACATTGCACCTTTAAATAAAAAAGTAATTTAACAGAATAATTAAGGCTATCTAATGGCATAATAATCCCAGACGTAGATATTAATAATACAACCTTACAAAATCCTTTATTGAAAAAATATAGATTTTTATTTTATTTTTAAATTATTGTTGTTTTTTTACTTTATCAAACGTTGTGAAAGTCATTTATTTCTTCTAGAGTTCATGATTTCAATCCCTTGTGACCCAATATCTGAAATCTCAGAAATCCTCATCTTCTGCATCACAATCTTCCTCACATTTTGAACTGTGATTGTTTTCCAGCATTATTTTCTCCACTACTAATGTCATTTCCACATCATCACTCCTTACATTGCTCACAACCATTTGTTATTTTCTTCAAAACCACTTCATTTAGTAATTAACATGTGTTTGATCATTTCAACTGAAACATACTTTCGATAATAATAATATGAATAATTTATGTCACTAAAAAAAAAAGAGTGATATTTTCATCAAAACATTTTACTGTCTCTATGAGGATTTGATACACACATTTACTCTTTTTATTTCAGTGAAGATCATCAATATTAATGTAATGAAGAGGAAATAAGAGTCTCTATAACATCTCACTGTTACTGGTTTATCGTGCGACTCAAAGTATTATGGTTATATAATTGGTGACATTAACATAACCTGGTTATGTTCTTCAGTGCTTGTATTTAGTTTGCTTCTGTTCAGTCTGTCCTGGTCGGTCGTTGTCTATGTTACCTTGTGTTTGCTTCTGCCAATATACGTGTTAAATATATTGTAAGTAAAAGTTATATTCTTTGGAATCTGGACTCTGCCTGTTCGTCTGCCTGCACCACACCGTGACAGAATGACCGACCACAACGAAGAGACAGCATGGGGATTCTCCTCACCCCAGCTCATTCACTCTTCAACATTTTTCAAGATCGTCATTCTATTGAGGAGTATGTCGCCAAATTCCTGGAGCTCTCTGCTGGGGTAAGTTGGTCAGATGATGTCTTCAAATCAGTCTTTTGGTTGGGTTTAGACGATCATCTGTACCAGCAAGCCCCAGTAGCAGCGTTTCCAGGAACCTTTGCTGGGTACCTCGATCATGTGTTGTGGTTGAGTGGGTCAGCCAAATGAAACATGTCACCAAACATGAAACCGTTGGCGAGGCTGAGGTTGACATCACCATTCAACCACACACACCAGCCATCATCGCCGTCCAGCCCGAGACCATCCAGCCTGAGTCTGCCCACGTGCCGTCTGCCCAGCGAGAGACTGTCCACGTCCCGTCAGGCCAGCCAGAGTCTCGTCCCGCCGAAACAGCCCAGCCAGAGTGTCGTCCCGACGAGACAGCCCGGCCAGAGTGTCGTCCCGCCGAGACAGCCCGGCCAGAGTGTCGTCCCGCCGAAACACCCCAGCCAGAGTCTCGTCCAGCCGAAGCACCCCAGCCAGAGTCTCGTCCCGCCGAAACACCCCAGCCAGAGTCTTGTCCCGCCGAAGCACCCCAGCCAGAGTCTCGTCCCGCCGAAACACCCCAGCCAGAGTCTCGTCCCGCCGAAACACCCCAGCCAGAGTCTCGTCCCGCCGAAACACCCCAGTCAGAGTCTCGTCCCGCCGAAACACCCCAGCCAGAGTGTCGTCCCGCCGAAACACCCCAGTCAGAGTCTCGTCCCGCCGAGACAGCCCAGCCAGAGTCTCGTCCCGCCGAGACAGCCCAGCCAGAGTCTCGTGCCGCAGACGACACATCTCTTTGGCAGTGTGAGTAATAACTCTGCTCTTCTTAGACAGACGGAGGCGTTTATTCACTGTGTTCAGATCCAGAGTGAGCTGATGGGAATCTGATGGAGAGAAAACACATCAGAAACAGGAATTATGAATCTGTCTGATCTTTTAATGTCTCTGAACTCTTCATGACTCAATGTTCAATGTATCATCAGTGTCTCAGTACAGATGATCAGATATCCTGAGCAAATCCTCATTTACATGATCAATTATAAAACTCTTCTATCATGATTTATTTCTCCTTCTACAGTAGAGCTTAGATCGGGCCCAAAAAAATCAAGCCCGACCCGACCCGAGCCCGTTGTGTCCGAGACCGGCTCGGCGCGACACAGTAACTATAATTATGAGCCCGAGCCCGATTTAAACCCGACCTTTTTTAACACATTACGTAGGCCGTTATAACTGGGGGCGTCGCAAGATATAATTTTTTTAAGCAGGTGCCGAAAGGGTGCTAGTGTCACGCTCGTGTCCGTTTTAATCTTCTGTTTTCTGTTTTAGTCACATGTCTTTTGTTTTCCCGCTACTCTTTTGTTTCCATGCCAACCATCGTTAGTTCACCTTCATCACCTGTGTCCTGATTATCACCTTCATCTGTATCGTCTGGTTATGTTCTTCAGTGCTTGTATTTAATTTGCTTCTGTTCAGTCTGTCCTGGTCGGTCGTTGTCTATGTTACCTTGTGTTTGCTTCTGCCTATATACGTGTTAAATATGTTGTAAGTAAAAGTTATATTCTTTGGAATCTGGACTCTGCCTGTTCGTCTGCCTGCACCACACCGTGACAGAATGACCGACCACAACGAAGAGACAGCATGGGGATTCTCCTCACCCCAGCTCATTCACTCTTCAACATTTTTCAAGATCGTCATTCTATTGAGGAGTATGTCGCCAAATTTATTTTTCTGCTCTCTGCTGGGGGAAGTAGTTCAGATGATGTCTTCAAATCAGTCTTTTGGTTGGATTTAAACGATCATCTGTACCAGCAAGCCCCAGTAGCAGCGTTTCCAGGAACCTTCGCTGGGTACCTCGATCATGTGTTGTGGTTGAGTGGGTCAGCCAAATGAAACATGTCACCAAACATGAAACCGTTGGCGAGGCTGAGGTTGACATCACCATTCAACCACACACACCAGCCATCATCGCCGTCCAGCCCGAGACCATCCAGCCTGAGTCTGCTCACGTCCCGTCTGCCCAGCGAGAGACTGTCCACGTCCCGTCTGCCCAGCGAAAGACTGTCTATGTCCTGTCAGGCCAGCCAGAGTCTCGTCCCGCCAAAACAGCCCAGCCAGAGTCTCGTCCCGCCGAAACAGTCCAGCCAGAGACCGTTCAGCCAGAGATCGTCCAGCCAGAGCCAGAGACCAAGATCCCACCCAGCCTCCTTCTCCCACCTCCTCTCATCTGCCACCTTTCAGGCCTACCAGCCCTGCTGATCCAGCCGGGTTGGTGGATCCCTGGCCTCTGCCTCCAACCTCCTCAACTAGGACTCTACCTCAGCCCTTCGTCCCATCTGCTCCCCCTTGGCTCCTACCTCCCTCAGCTCCACCATGGCCCCTCAGTCTACCAGTTCCGCCAGGCACCCTCGTCCCCCCGGATTCACTTTGATTCCTCGTCGGCCTTCCCTCACCTTTGGACTTCTCTCCGCTGGCTACGCCTCGTCGTTTCACCCCCCCCCCCCGGTTCTGTTGGACTCCTCACTCCCCTTAGTGCTCCTTTGGTCCTCAGTCCCTCTGTCTCCACCGTGTCCTTCGGTGTCCCTGTCTTCACATCAGTCACCTGAGCCTGCAGTCTCACCATGTTCCTCCAGTCCCTCAACATCACCCTGTCTCGTCGGCTCTACGCCTTCACCCTGGTCTCCTCTCCCACCTGCTCCGCCCCTGTTAGTTGGCCCCCTGGTGTCGTCAGCCCCGCCTCCGTCTTGGCTCCTTCCTTTGTCTGCTCCACCATGGATCCTCCCTCCATCTGCTCCACCCTGGCCACGCCCTCAGCCTGCTCCGCCCTGGCCACGCCCTCAGCCTGCTCCACCCTGGTCACGACCTCAGCCTGCTCCGCCACGCCCTCAGCCTGCTCCGCCCTGGCCACGCCCTCGGCCTGCTCCGGTCTGGGTCCTTCTTCAGCGCGAGGTCGCGCTTTCCGAAGGGGGGAGAAATGTCACGTTCGTTTCTGTTTTGATCTTCTGTTTTAGTCACGTCTTGTTTTCCCGCTACTCTTTTGTTTCTATGCCAACCATCGTTAGTTCACCTTCATCACCTGTGTCCTGATTATCACCTTCATCTGTATCACCTGGTTATGTTCTTCAGTGCTTGTATTTAGTTTGCTTCTGTTCAGTCTCTCCTGGTCGGTCGTTATCTATGTTACCTTGTGTTTGCTTCTGCCTGTATCCGTGTTAAATATATTGTAAGTAAAAGTTATATTCTTTGGAATCTGGACTCTGCCTGTTCATCTGCCTGCACCACACCGTGACAGCTAGACCATATACAGGGGGTAGCTGCGCAATTATTAGGGATATATATATTAGGGATGCACCGAATATTCGGCCACCGAAAATTTTCGGCCGAAACTTAATGTCACTGTTGGGCCATTTTCGGTTTTCGGCCGAAAGACTGAAAGACACAGAAACAATACGAAAGACACAGAAACAATACGGCCGAAATGTTGTAATGACGCAAGCAGAAACCGCGACCTGCACGTGCTTGTCTGAAGCAACATGTCTGCGGTGCGGACGTATTTCAGTGAATCTGAACCCGCGAGGAGACGGAAGCCTTGTTTATCCACCTATATCTACTCTAAACAACGTGCGCCGCCATGACGACGACTCTGGATGCGGGCGGGTCAAGTATAAACTGTGGAGACTGGCGCTGTCTGTGGAGACTTGCGCTGCGGAGGCAGGCGAAAGGCAGGCGACCGCTCCAAACGGTCGAGGCGTTTATACTGGACCCGCTCGCCGTTGTACTATTCCTTGAAACGACAGGGGACGACTCAAGTAACTGTCCTCTAACCATTAGGAATCGGTGAGAAGAAGAAAGACAAACACATGACAATGTTTATTTTTTAGGATACCACCACCAATACAAAAATAATCATGTAAAACCCAGTAAACCCTGAGATTATTACTTGTGACATTACAAAAATATATATATGAGAACATGTATGTATAGAACTAAATGAATGCTCTCTTAAATATTTTCTACATTCACTAAACATGTTTCATTAAGTTTCATGTACATTTGTATTAATCATGGACCTTTGTTCATTTAAAAAGGCTTTTTATGCTATTGTATGCTAATTTTTTTTAAATAAGAATAAACATAAATAAGAAATTTAAAATAAGAAATAAACAGACATGAACAGTGTGACGAGAAATGACAAGTTAAAATACAGACATTTCTTTTTTTTCTTTTTTCTTTTTTTATTTGGTGAACTATTCCTTTAATGTTGAAAACATCCCCATGATTCAGACAGCTTATAGTTATAACAGTCTGTAAATGTTATAGTTTGTGACTTTGTGAGTTTCCTGTGAGATTTGTAAAAGTACAAAATACAGACGCAATCTATTAGGCTCGAGAACAGAGAACGCAAGGTTAGATCGCAGGTTGCAGATATGTCTGTTTTGAATAGGAAAGCAGCTCTCGTTGTCTGTCCATATCTCTATTTCTCTTTGGCTTTGTGTAATGATGCCACATGGGGAACTAAATAATGAGAACTGAGCGCTAGAGCTGCATTGATTTCAAGTGCTATAGAAACAGATGGGTGTTCAGTTGTGCTTTGAATGGGTCGGTATGACCAGGAGAGAGAGAACTGAATGAATGTCCCTTGAGTTCTCATTCAGGAAGGTATGTTGGGCAGATGGTCGGGCTCTCCTCTGTCCTTCACTTTGTGTCCATATTCAGTGACCTTAAATCTTACAGCATATCACTTAATAATCTGTCTTTGAATTATATGCAAAATATCAAACCAAGCTGCATATGCAAACAAATGATCCTGGAGCTTTTCTCAGAACTATCTTCACTCTTCAGTGATATTTTTGCAATTTTTTTTTTAAAACCGAATTTTTTAATGGCTGTATGAAGTCCTCAAGTTCATATAGTTGTCCTACAGGTGTTGTTCAGCACATTAACTATGGACATGTTTCAGTTTCAAAAGCTGAGATCCGAATACTTTCTTACTTTTCTTATTTTTTTACTGTATTATCATTTAAAATGTCTTACTTTTCGATGCAATGGCATTCTTTTTTTTTTTTTTTTTTTTTTTCTTTTTTTATATATATATATTGGTTGCTTGCTTGGTTGGTTGGTTGCTTTGTTGGTTGGTTGGTTGGTTGGTTGGTTATTGGTTGCTTGCTTGGTTGGTTGGTTGCTTGCTTGTTTGATTGGTTGGTTGCTTGGTTGGTTGCTTGGTTGGTTGGTTGGTTGGTTATTGGTTGCTTGCTTGTTTGGTTGCTTGATTGGTTATTGGTTGCTTGCTTGGTTGGTTGGTTGCTTTGTTGGTTGCTTGGTTGGTTGGTTGGTTGGTTGGTTGCTTGGTTGGTTGGTTGCTTTATAGGTTGCTTGCTTGGTTGCTTGCTTTGTTGGTTGGTTGGTTGGTTGGTTGGTTGGTTGCTTTATTGGTTGCTTGCTTGGTTGGTTGCTTTGTTGGTTGGTTGGTTGGTTGGTTGGTTGGTTGCTTTATTGGTTGCTTGCTTGGTTGGTTGCTTTGTTGGTTGCTTGCTTGGTTGGTTGGTTGGTTGCTTGCTTGGTTGGTTGGTTGGTTGGTTGCTTGGTTGCTTGGTTGGTTGGTTGCTTTATTGGTTGGTTGGTTGCTTGGTTGGTTGGTTGCTTGGTTGGTTGCTTTATTGGTTGCTTTCTTGGTTGGTTGGTTGCTTGGTTGGTTGGTTGCTTGGTTGGTTAGTTGGTTGGTTATTGGTTGCTTGCTTGCTTGGTTGGTTGGTTGCTTTGTTGGTTGCTTGGTTGGTTGCTTGTTTGGTTGCTTGGTTGGTTATTGGTTGCTTGCTTGGTTGGTTGGTCGGTTGGTTGGTTGCTTTGTTGGTTGCTTGGTTGGTTGGTTGCTTGGTTGGTTGGTTGC